TTCAGAAGCACATATAAAAGGAGAGGGAGAAAAATGCTTTAGAAAGCCCAGTTTTTCCATTGGAGTGCTCAGTTTCCCCTTGGTGCAATAAAATGTAGTTAAAAGACAAATCTTAAAACAATACTAAGAAGAGAAAAGGAGAGGGGGGCAGGGGAAGTTTAACCCAGCCAAATACATATTACTAGTAGTTGAGAAGTATTACTGGTTCTTGTGGTTTTAGACTGAAACAAAAAAAGCAGAAAGAAAGAAGGACAGACAGACTGTAAGCCTAAAAAAAATATCCAACTACCCCAAAGGAGAAAACCTTCTTTTGTGGCTCTTGGGGGAAAAAAAAGGTTTATTAAAATGTAAAAGCTCCTGGCCTTCAGTCTGGATCATTTTAAATAAATAACAATGCAATAAATCTTTGATTTAATGTATAATCTCTGCTAGATCAAAATTTTGTCCAAATTTCCATCTGTAACACTATTCAAATAATGGATAAAATCTGTTGTTTGGTTTATTGGTATAGATAGTGTCTGTTTACTTTCAAAAAGTTATTAGTTTTTATCAGTAAAATAGGCTTTTTCAGGTAAGAGTATGTTTTTGTCTTTAACAGGAATTTTAGTTTCTTTCCATTATATTAGTGATTATTTCTGAACTGAATGCTTCTCCCAGCTTTTTAAGTCCATTTCTAAAATAGCAGTGCTTTTGGTACACTAACTATAATTTTTAATTCAAGTTATGGTTTTATTCTACTCCATTTCTTGCTGAGAGTCTTGAATAAGCTATTAGAAAAGTATTTAAAGTGTTTTGGTTCATTGTTTTACTTTATTTGAAATTCACATGGGCAGTATTTTGATTTGCTTGCTGCTATCATTTTTACATTTCCATAAAACATCTTGAGAAAAAAATGAATCCTAATTAAACCTAGGTGCCTATAATCTCACATCATATGGGGATTTTGTAGGAGATGAGATTGTCAGAATCATGCAAGATTTGGACTATTTTAAAATTGGGTTATAGGAGTATTGGTACATTAGCAGGAAAAATGTCTGACTGCTGCTGTAGGATACGGCAAGGATAGGCAACTATTTTGTGGCAATCATGAGCTATTTTTTTAGTTAGTATTTTTTTCTGCCTACATCGTATTATGAGGGAGTACATCATAAAATAGTGTGAAGATGATTTTTTTCAACTTTATATGGTGTGTGTGTGAGTCTTGATTCTTCTTTTTTAACAGTTGAAACTTAAATCTTAAAATACTGGAATAATATTCAAATGATGGACCACCACGCTGCCAAATTTCAATATTTTCTAGTTGCATTTCAATAGTATTTGTGAGCTTCAGATTGATTGAGATTAAATGCTTCCACTCCAAAAAGAGGCATATTTCTATTTTAATACCCTTTGTAGCATTGCTTCAAATAAGCCTTGGGGTGAAAAAGTGAATTGTACTGCAGTCGGCAATGGAACTGAGCATCCATTATGAACTGGCAGTATATACATTAAGGCTGTCTCCATTTCTGAGATTACAAATAGTAAAGCATACTTTATTTTTTTTCCCATTGTTTCTTTTTGTATTTTCTTCTTATTATTGTATGTTGTGGATTCCTGCTGGGTAGATCATGGACATAGGGTCAAGGCTTGGGTGTAGTCTATGAATTCCAATCCCACCAAAAAAAATCTCCTTGCTTTGCTAGGAAATGGTTATACTATATAAATCATTTCTTTTTTACCCATAAGGACTAAGTGCTACCCTTTGATAGGGAATTATGAGAATTATGGGCTCAGAAAATATGTTGTTATCGAAATAGAACAAACTGCTTCTCAATTAGTGTTCCAAAAAATTAAAAATATAATGTTCATATTGTACTTGGCATTTCTTATTTTAGAACTTATCCTCATTTGCTTCCTTCAAATTAGTTCATCTTTTCAGTTCTCTTTCATTTTATTCATGGCCCAGGATGGAAGCTGTTGGGATTGTTATGGACAAAGCAGCAGACCTTTAAAATATGTTAAACTGAATCTAAGTTCCTGACATTGAAAGGGTCACAATTAATTACAGATAGTTCTTGACTTACAACCCCAATTGAGCCCCAAATTTATGTTGCTAAGCAAGGCAGTTATTAGGTTTTGCCCCATGTTATGACCTTTCTTGCCACAGTTTTTAAGTGAATCACTGCAGTTGTTCAGTTAGTAACGCAGTTAAGTGAATCTGACTTTCCCATTGACTTTGCTTGTCAGAAAGTTGCAAAATGGGATTACATGAACCCTCCCCCCCCAACCATCATAATTACATGCCAGTTGCCAAATGGCTGAATTTTGATCATGGGACCATGTGGAATGAATGCTGCGACGGTCATAAGTGTAGAAAAACAGTCATAAATCACTTTTTTTCAGTGCTGTTGTCACTTTGAACAATCACTAAACGAACTGTTGTAAGCCAAGGACTACCAGTAATAAGCAAACCTGTTAGGGAGATCAGTTTGAAGAAAAAAGTTTTCTATAAGTTAGCTTTACTAAAACTTTTGATCTAATTGGAGGAGTGTTTTACTTGCTCTTCAGGGAAGTGCTATAAATAACCTGAACACACATAAACGTAACTTTAAAGCTTTCAAAATATGAATGTGTGGGAAAGAGCTGTTTGTCTATCTCTTGGCTAAGTGGTAACATTTTCCACACGAGGTGGCGCAGTGGTTAAATGCAGCACTGCAGGCTACTTCAGCTGACTGCAGTTCTGCAGTTCAGCTGTTCAAATCTCACCAGCTCAGGGTTGACTCAGCCTTCCATCCTTCCGAGGTGGGTAAAATGAGGACCCGGATTGTTGTTGGGGGCAATATGCTGACTGTGTGAACCGCTTAGAGAGGGCTGAAAGCCCTATGAAGCGGTATATAAGTCTAACTGCTATTCTTCCACAACAAGCAAAATGTTCAAAATGTTTTTATGGGTTAGGCCCTACTGAAATATGTCCCATTTCTTCTCATGCTTGGGTCCTGTGTTATCAGTTGCTTTGGGGTCAATAGCTGTGATTTTGTTTTTAAAATTCTACTGAAATTTTGCACTCAGCTCTTTGAACAACTTGTCTGCCTTTGTTATTGGTGTTGCCTCACCAGCAAATAAGAACCTGGTTTATACTACTGAGTATAAAGTGCTGGCCTAGAAACCACAAGTGTGTAAGTTCTAGTGCCGCCTTAGGCATGAAAAATCGGCTGGATGACCTTAGAGAGGTGGAGACCTTCCCCTCAGGGAAAAGGGCGGCCTATAAATGTCAATAAACTATGAATAAACTACTAGACCAGTCATTGTCTCAGCCCAATTAACTCCACAGGGTTGTTGTTGTGGGGAAAATAGTAGGAGGAAGGAATATTAAGTAACTTTGCTAGCTTGAGTTACTTATAAAAATAATAAAGGCGGGAAACAAATAAGCAAGCCAACAGATACATGAGTGCCTCTTTCTAAAGGTTTGAATGTCCAGCTGCACATTCTTTTTCCCTCTAATAAACCATTTTATTTGCCATCCCTTTTTGCTCCAATCCAAGACAATCATTCTAATCCTACTAGCCTAAGTATATAAAAATCACCTTGATTGCTTTTTCTCCTTCCAATGGGGAAAAGTCGTAAAATGGGACAAAATTCAACTAAGGAATGTTTCACTTAGCAACAGAAGTTTTGGGCACAATTGTGAGCATAGGTCGAGGACTACCTGTATTGGAGGAGGGAGACACTCAGTGGGATTATTTTTAAGGAAGACATGTTTTGTAGAGCATATGAAGTTGTGTCTGAAAGTAAAGGCTGGATAGGAATGAGGGCAAGGAGCAATTGCTTTCCTTAAAAAAAAACAAAAAACAGAGGAGCAGCAGGAAGAGTTCCAGTATCTTGTATGCATAAGCAAAATCACCCAGTTCTCAGCCTCTATTGATGGTGGCTAAGGGCCCAGTTTAAAAGTGAACGCTGGCATTGTGAGATGCTACGTGGGTAGGTTTGCTGCTTCCCCAGGCTCATGAGGTGTCTCTCTTTGGGGAATGGTTCAATTAGCCTTCTGTCTTTTCAGGAAGCGTCATTTACCTAAAGCTGAATTGGCCAGCGCTGTCAGTGAATGTGTTTTTTGTTTTGTTTTGATGGAACTGGTTTGGCAAGATTCTGTGTTTGTTTCTGGCCTGAGTGTAAGTAGAAATGGCCTTGCCTTAGAGCTATTAACAGATGCTTTTGAATTAGGTAGTACATTCATACCAGTAGCCTTCTCCATTTGACCTTGAGAGTGCACTGAAATATTGGGAAACAGTATATGAACTGCTTTTTTTAATATTAGTAAATAAAGTGCTGAATATTTTATTTCAGGTTGTAGCTGCAGAGTGATTGTTGTTAACTGTATTGCCGTTCAAATTTGTGAATCCTGGTTTCATACCCTGGATATGGATATTTCAAGGGGAAAAACAAAAACATTCCTGCTAGTGGTTTTTTTTCCAGGTGCAATAAATAGATCAGTTATAATTCCAATGGCTCTGAATTTCTAATCCAGATGTCATACTGTATTTACCAAAAAGGATGATGACTTCGTTTCCCCCAAGATTTAGATAGAAAAACTGATCTGCCTTCATTAACTTATTCTTAGTATATCTAAGAGTCAGAGAGTTAAATACATTACTTTCCATGTGAATACTTTTTTAAAAAAAGAAATACACATACATGTGCATAGTTCTTTAAAACCTCATGTGTGCTATTCACAAATGCTTGTGTTGCTGAAGCAAAGAATTTGTGCATGTGTTCTGAGCACATATTTCACATAGTTACATCAAAAGCATTCACTTGGGCATAGTTGCTAAATTAAAATAGGATTTCAATTACACTAGGCAGACATAGTATGGACAGCTGGTTGTGTAAGTTAAATACTTGCGATCACTTATAACATGTGACAACAAATGAGATGATGATTTCATGTTAAATTTTTAGGTCATGTTTTATTTTGGATCTTGCATATTAAAAGGGAGTGTTTACTTGTTTTTCTTTCTTGTCTTTAGCATCAAGAGGTGCCCCCAACCACCTGAGGCAGATGGAGATAAGGATCAGCGGACAGTGACCATCAATTCTTGTCATATGGGCAAGGCATTCAAAGTCATGAATGAATTAAGGAGGTACTTCTTCATGTTCAATTTGCCTCTCTGCAATTATTAGACACTTGCTGGCTGGAGTTGGAGGGATCTAACTTGTAGAATGCTTTGTTCAATTCAAGCATGATCTTCAAATCCGTTGCTGTATTTTGTATGAAGTTTATGGTGCTTTACAATAGAACACAATCACTAATGCTGTTATACAAAATAACAGGATTGTGTAAGCAATTTGTTGGACATTGTACCTTAGCAATATAGATATATTTATTTATTCTATTATAAATAGTAGATTTGCTTTAGACAACAATCTAACTTTGGGAATCTACAAACCAGGACTTATCTCATTTTTACAGGGCCCTGATAGCCTTCGGTGCCTTCCGTCTCTGCTACTGGATTTTATTCTTTCCCTACTTCCACCTAGCTAACCACATATTTTCTTCTTCTCTTTCCCCCCTGTAGCTAGTTTGATGTTGGTTGTAATAAACTACAGAACCCTAGCAAAAGGGGCAGGGAGGTGCTCATCTAGAATGCAACATGATGGGAAGTACAGATTTCTCAGGTGCTGAAAGGATGTGGGGGCTGTTGTGGACAGCAGCAAGCACTGACTTGTCTCAGGAGGATCTTATGCCTGACTAGGAAAATTCAAACAGGAGGACATTAAAAAAAACAAAACAAAGGACAGGAACTCTATAGCACTGCTTCCCATTCCAAGATAGTGCAGTTAAACTTCAATAGTGTACAACTGAAAAGAGCAGGCAAGACAATTTGGCCAATATTGCCAAGGTGGGTACTCTGCAGCAATCACAGGTGTCTGCCTTTATAGTAAAGTGCAGTATGTAGAATGGTACTAGCTGAATTGCCACATATTGTCCAAGAAAATGGCCAGGACATGGACCTAGTCCTTTCCAGAGGTACCTCTGTGTCACCCACAGAACCACTGTTCTTTGAGTTCACATAAAAATCAGGAATCTAACTCCCATACTTTTTAATAACATGTTTTTTAAGAAACCTTGTTAGTAGGAAAAAGCATTACTGGGCTCCTGTTTTGTTTTGTTTTTTTGCCCCCAGAGACTAATATAGCTCTCTTCCTACAATGAATTCACAGACGTGCAGCTGAAATGTTTAACAGCTCATCAATTGCCATTACTTAGTGATACATAGTCCTTGCTTTATAACACAACAGCCATGCCATGAACACACAGGAAAGCATTCACATGCCCTGTCTGAGAAGGCACCAGTCCTGAGTGAATTATCTTGCACGTGTCCCTTGGTAACAAGTTGTTTTTGCCCCTTCTTTGCTGGCATAGAAAATGAAAGGCTGGAGGACTGTGGATTGCTTGGTATAAAGCAGATTAGTATGATAAAAATACTAGATTATTCTATTTGTAACTTAATGCTATGGGGGATAATGGAAGAAGACTGACAGCTTTCCTCTTAGAGGAGCTAATAATATAGGCTGCCTATGACGCCCTTCTAAACAAGTTACATTGCAGCTGACCTGAAATCCCTCACATTTCTTCCCTTTCCTGCTTACCACTGATTTATTCTCACTACTGTTGTTTCTGCTGTTGCTGCTGCTGCTAAACTATTGCAGAACTAAGGTTTGGCATTTGTTGAATACTTTAAAGTGGTAGGTGACAGCTGATTGCCAAAGCAGGGTTATATAGAAAAGGTGTTGAGGGGCCACTGAATCAATCTAGGGACAGGAGAAAGAGAAAAGCCCATCTGCCTCCGGTAACATTTTTTAAGAAAGGGATATACTATACTAGCTGTCGAGATTTGATGCTACCATCTGCCCATAGAGGTTGGGATTCTTTAGTGCTGGTGACATTAAAAGTCAGCTGCACTCTGGAGTCTTCCCTGTCAAGCAAGCTAGTCCAAAAATGGATGGTTGATTTGACCTGCCATTTTGATAGCTCTGGAGCTGGAAAATTCCAACATCATTAAATTATGTTTACTTATTGATTATCCTGATCTGTTAATGTTTGCTGATCCCCGGATGAGCCCACGCAAATGCAATGTATATGAAACAAGTTTTGTTTTTGTTTTTAAAAAAAGAAATCATCTGTACATTTGAGCCATTATGTAGATAAATAAGAAACTTGATCTTTCTATTTTAAAAACCAAGCACGGGGGTAAATGGGCAATGCTAATTCTGAGTAATGGTGTCCTTGGGATCATCCATTTTAGCTTGCAGCAATTATGCAATGCAAATTCGAAATAATATAAAAGTGGATGTTAAATATATTGATGAAAATATCGGTAGCCCTCGATGTACAAGAGTTCATTTAGTGACTGTTCAAAGTTATAACGTAACTTAAAATGTGACTTATGACAGTTTTCATACTTATGATCTTTGCAGCATACCCATGATCATGTGATCAAAATTCAGAAGCTTGGCATCTCATTCATACTTATGACTTTTGCTGTGTCCCAGGGTCATGTAATCACCTTTTGTGACCTTTTTTAAAATAAATTTTATAAATTTAAAAATTTAATTTTTTTTCTGACAAGGAAAGTTAATAGGGAAACCAGATTCACTTTGTTACTAACCCATCAGTGATTCGCTTAACAACTGCGGTAAGAAAAGTTGTAAAATGGATGCAAATATTCACTTAACAAATGTCTTACTTAGCAACAGAAATTTTGGGCTCAATTGTGGTTGTAAGTCAAGAACTACCGTATTTTTCGGAGTATAAGACACACCTCCCCCCCCTTAAAAGAGGGTGAAAATTAGGGTGTGTTTTATACACTGAATGTAGCCTCACCCACCCACCGTCCACCACCCTTTGGCCTCTGCCTCCCAACAATTTACCTCTTTGCAGCAAATAGGGGGCTTGCGGAGGCTTCAATAAGCTATAGCAATCCCTGCAACCTCTAACAGCTGATGATTGGGATAAATTGAAAATGAAACTTGCTGTTTGCTCCACGAGGCAAATTGCTGGGAGGCAGATTTTTTTCCCCTTGTGCTAATCAGGCTGTTTGCTGCAAGGAGGTAAGTCAACAACTATAAATGCCCATAGAATGTTCAAATTATTAGACATATTTTTTAAAGACTGCTTTATTATTATTCTAGGCAACTTAACAAAATGAAAAAAGCTTTTTAAAATAAATGCTTGATGTGAAGAGGCCCCTTGCTATTGTTTTAATAAGTGCTACTCTTTTAAATACCAGAGAATAACTATA